CCTCCGCTCTGCAGAGCGCGGCGGCCTGGACGGCGCCTTCGCCACGCAGGGCTGGTTCATCGGGCTGCTGTGCGCCGGGGCGCTGCTCACGCTGGCGCTGCTGACCGTCTGCTTCGTGAGGCGGAACAAGGGCGGCAAGTACTCCGGTGAGCGCGGGCTGGCCGCCCGCCCGCCCAGGGCCGCCCCAGGGACACCCCCAAGGCCGACCCCTGTAGGGCAGCCGCGCAGGCCGTGGGCCCCGCCCAGAGGCCGCCCCACTCAGAGGCCCCCAAAGCCCCTCCCCACTCCCCGCAGGTCCTGCCCCGCCCCTTCCGGCCCCCCAGGGGTAACTGCCGACCTGCAGTGCGCCTGCTCTGTTCACAGTGAAGGAAAAGGAGGACCAGCACCCCGACCCCGAGGGCCAGTCAGGGAAGGAGGAGACGTTTGGTGACTACAGGTAGCCCCTCCGCCCCCTTCGATGGCACCCCCGAAGCAGTTCGGCGGCGGGCGCGTGGGGGGGGCGGCCAGCAGGGTCGCTGACCCGGGGAGAGGCAGGGGGCCGGGCGCCTCTGCATGGGGGTCTCCCTCGGCACAGGCCCCATCTCTGCGTGCAGCGACCGCAGGGCAGAGGCGCCGGCCTGCAGGTGGCCGGGGACTGCCCAGGACTAAGGTCCCTGCTCCAGCTAAGTCTGTCCGGGAGGCGCCGCCCCTGCAGCCGCCGGCGGTCTCCGGCACTGGGCCTCGCGCCCGGGGCGGCCCTCCCGTCCTGGGGCTTCCTGCCCTGCGCACTGCCCAGCTGGCGTGAGCGCAAGGTGGTGCGCAGGTCTGCGCGTGCGCCCGCGGGGCCTGCAGGGAGGCTGGCGCTCCCCGCCGGGCCTGGGCCGCGTCTCAGCTGGGCAGTGCTCCCACCAGGAGCCCCCTCCCGACGCTGACCGCCGAGCCGGCCGCCTCCGCGCCCCCCAGCGGCCTAACGTCCTACTAACACGCTGCTTCTCGGTCCAGCCTGGCGGCGGCCTCGCGCTCCTGTTCGGGTCTCAGCGCCACCTGCGCTCGGGGAGGTGCCGGCCGGCCCCCTGGGAGCGGCGGCCCTGGCGCCCCGCCTGTCTGGAGTGTGGCGCCACCCGGCCGCTGCAGCGGCTGGCACCGGGGATCCACGCGGGCAAACCCACGATCCCGGTTTCCACGGCCCGCCGATGGGCTGTGAGGAGCCGGCCTTGCCGTGGTCAGCGCCAGGCCGGAAGTTGCCTGCGGGTCGCGCTGCGGCTCCGGGGTCCTCGGACGGGCAGGTCTGTGCCCTCTGCCAGCGCCGCAGCAAGC